GTAACAGATGTCGATGTGCGGTTTTCACCATCATATATTTGATAAAAATTGAACTCCAGACACCGATGTTAGTTTTCGTCTATCTCCTATAGAAAAGGGTGTTTTCCTATAAAAGTGTCTAATTTTACCCACCCTGTACAAAAACATGTTCGAATTATCAATATTTTACATTCAATCTGTTACACGCAACAGCCGTAGTTATTTTAATGCGTATTATAAACTTTTCCTTTTGTTTGCCCCTCATAAATAGGGTTTGCGCGCCCGTCCAAAATCTAATTTAGTCGAAGGGTGCATAAGCACGGCAATTGCCGATCGACTATGGTCTTAATGAAATTGGCGAGGATCAAAGGGGCAACGTTTTAACGCAAACTGGAGCACGTTCTTCAAATATCATCGATGGGCCATCATCGTTCGATGGAGTTATGCCGCTCTCGAAATATATACGTCGTAGCAGTAAACATCTTCTCGACGAGACGCTAACGAAATTACGAGGATGCTACCGAAACTGGAACGCAAATTGAGGCTGAACGATAGTTTCGAGGTACTTAAAATAGCCGGAGGAATAGCGGATCGATATTTTTGCGTAGCATTTTACGAGAAATGTTCTATCCGAGCTTATTAAAGCTTTTAAATGCTTAAAGTTTAAGGAATGTATAAATTTTCTACAATAAAAGGTATTAATAATCAACACATATGTATAGGTAGTAGATTAAATTTACACACACCGGAAAAGTCTAGGGATATTAAAATTTTATCCAGCCATCGTCAGTAATTTTATTATTTGCATTTCTGATATAATAAAATTAAAATAAACAAATAGTTTACAGGACGTATTGAAAATAAAAATGCGAAATTTACCGAATTTTTCAAATTTACCTTGATTTTTATTGTACTCAAAAAAATAGACACATTTTTTTTTATTCTAAACTGTAAAATTAAAAAAAAAAGATAAAACCATTTTTAATTAATAAAGGGTATGGCCTCCTCTACTGTTCATTACAGCTCTACATCGTCTCTTCATGCTCCTGATCAGGTTGTCGATCTCTTCTTGAGGTACAGCCTGCCACGCTGCATTCACGACCCGAATCAGATCCCTACGAGTTTCACGAGGCACACCCATTCTCAAAATTCTTCTTTGGACAGCGTCCCATACGTGCTCGATGGGGTTGAGGTCAGGAGATTGTGCCGGCCAGGGTAAGATGTTTAATTGATGAGCATTGATAAACTCACTTACCACTCTGGCTGTATGAGGCCGTGCATTGTCATGCATGAGAATGAAGTTTCTCCCAAAATCATTGGCATATGGTAACACGACAGGGTCAAGAATTAAATCACGATATGTGATTCCTGTTAGAAACCTTTCAAGAAAAACGAGATCGGTTTTTCGGCCGAACTGGACTCCTCCCCAGACCATAACTATTCCACCTTGATAAGGGTGCACTTCCTGAATATGATCCAACCGAATAAGATTTCCCGTTTCTCTCCATACCCTAAGCCTTCTCGAATCCGGATGAATTCCAAAGCGTGACTCATCCGTGAAAAGAACGTTGGCCCATTGTTCATTCGACCACTGAACATGATCTTGAGCCCACAAATATCGTACCTCTCGATTTCCTCTCGTTAAGGGTTGAGCTCTCCAGGGCTGCTTCTTAAGTTGACCTCTCTTAATCTATTGCGAATTGTGTCAGGACTAACGGTTACATTATGTTTCCTGGAGAATTAAACTAAGCTCTGGTGCTGTAAGAGTCGGTCGGCGTCGAGCCTTTAGTTGTAAAAAATGTTCTTGCTGAGGGGTAGTAATGCGATGTCGCCCTGTGTGCCTTTCAGCAACATCACCACTTTCACGGTAGCGTGCACTTAATCGCGATATTACACTTTGCGTTGTATTTAACGCTCTAGCTACGTCGATTTGGCGCATTCCAGCTTCGAGCATATCCATGGCCCTTAGCATTTCGTCTCTGTTAAGATGTCTACGCTCCATAATGTCGTTTAATACTAAACAGAATTATTTGAATGAATTCTGGCCAGCTATCATAAAAACATAGCCAGTACAGGTTAAATTCGTACAATTGATACTAGGTGCTTTTTATACAGTTGACAAAAAATGCACAAACACTTCTGCAAATATCCCAAATTTAGAAATAACTAGTGTGACTTCAGTCGAAGTAGAAAGAATCGGCCTACCAATATGTGGTTGTTTATTCAAAGCATTTATTTTTAACTTTAATAAAATGATATCCCTAGATTTTTCCGGTGTGACAAGAAAGCAAACCCAGAAAAGGTCCAGTGGTTTGGTTTCAACAATATTTTTTTTAATTTTCAAAGTAAAATATCCCGGTTATTTTGGACTTATTTGAAAAACGGCAAGGAAGAAATATAAATTTATGTTTCTTTTATCGAGATCTACCAACACTGAAAATTTTGCACTTATTTAAGACTCACCCTATATAAAAACGGTTTAAAACCTCCAAGACAATCTTTATTACTATAAGGGCATTCTAATAGTTTATGATGGGTTGAAGTTAAAATAAAGCGGGAACTTTGGACTGCTTTAGTAACACTTCAGTGATGTGAAAATAGCGTAATGAATTTAAATATATACGACAGTCGGTTTTATAATCGTAATAATAATAAATTCTCTGACGGGGTCTAAAACTGGAAACCTTAACGGTTAGACTGTTAATTAAGATTTTGCATTAATGTGGGGACCTACGAGTAGATTGACGTATACTTTGACATTCAATGTGGAAATCGACGTACTTAGAAGTTTATGTTTTCGTATAAACCCTCTGAATTTACAATTATGTGACGAGACAAAGCTCCAGATTTACACCACTATGTTTTTTTCTAAATTAGTACTACTATGATTAATTGTATGAACTAATATTTTTTGATTTGAATTTTTGGTTAAGTTAAATCATTTAAAAATTTAATCAATCGTATTTTTAAAGAGGTAGAGAATATTTCAATTGATGTAACACCTTTATGTTAAAAAAATACCTACCTGTCGTATTCATCTCTACAAAAAAATCCTTTATGGGTATTTCGCCACTGTACTGCAAGAAAATCTACAAAATAAAATAGTTATTTTTTGTAAACACTTCTGCGTTAAACCTAAACGGACGCTGCTTGTCAGAAGTTATGTTTATAGTTATCAGTGGCGTATCCAGGATTCATGCTTGGGGGGGTCAATAACTCAGTATTATACCTAAATATATATTTTTTTACATTAACAAGTAAGTACCTACCTAATTACAGCTAGGTACTATGATAAATAGTAGATATAAATAAAGAACAAATATTTTTCTTAGGAAAATGGTTTAATAATTTTTCTATACTTTCCTAAACTGTTGACCGAAGAAAGGGCCGAATACCAACAAACATTGCAGCCACAATCCGACATTCAAATAAGAACCGCAGCCTCTCCAGAGGATCAATATCAAAGAAGTAAGACAAATTTGCCAAACCCTGAAAAATAGAAAATCCCCTTGTTCCGGGTGAAATTCCTCCAGAATTACTCAAGTACGGCACGGATAAATTATATAAGCAGCTCGCTAGTTTTTTCCAAAAATGCCTTAATGGTGAAAATATACCGAAAGAATGGAAGACATCATATATAACAACAATACACAAGAAAGGAAGTAAAGACGATTGCGATAATTATCGAGGAATCTCCGTGCTGAGCTCTGTTTCAAGGGTCTATGGAAAATTGGACAAAAAGAGAATTGAGGAAGAATACCGGGATATGGAGGCTGAAGAACAAGCGGGGTTTAGAGCTGGTAGATCCACGGTCGACCATTTATTTACACTGACACAGATAATTGAGAAAAAGATGGCAAGAAATCAAGAAATACATCTCCTCTATGTAGACCTCAAGAAAGCATAAGTGTACCCCAGTCTAAATTGTGGGAAGCCCTCGAGAAAACGAATATCAGCATAACATTAATTAAGGCTGTCCAAGAACTTTATAAGAACAACACTAGCCAAGTAAAGAAAGGACAAACAGTATCAAAGGGATTCAGCATAAACAAAGGTCTTAAACAGGGCTGCTGTCTATCGCCGACACTGTGTAAAATCTATTTGGAACAAGCTCTAAAAACGTGGAAAAGGAAGTGCGAACAGATGGGGATACCACTAAACGACTCGATACTTTACACTCTTTGTTTGGCTGATGATCAAATAATACTGGCTCAAGACTACTAAGTAACATTACATCACAAAAAAAATAATCATTAACACAAAAATTAACTAAAAATTAAAGAAACAAATAACAAAATAAGAAGAAACAAACAAAAGGCCAAGTGAATAAAGTAAAAGCACAGATACAAATAAAATTAAATAACAATATCCAGGCTTTTTGGCTTTTGCCTGCATTTCATTAAGTACCTCCTCTGTACTAACAGATATTTCTGGATACATATACAAAAGGGATAAGCCATTTAGTCTGTCTTTACTTACGGTGTTACTTACGTAGGACCAAGGATATATAGAAGAAGGATATTCAACTCCCTATAGCGGGCTATGTAGGAAAATATGCCGTATTTTGTCGAGGAAGACGATTTCGTCACGACCAATGAGCGTCGAGTATTTGAAATTGAAAACATATAAATTGACGGTAACCTATGTTTTTTGACTCATTTCACTGACAGATGTGATGAGATTATTATTGTAATTTATAGATCCAAACGTTTTTTGAAAAAATAATGTATTTTAAAGTTATTTCCTAGAGTTTAGTTTGGCCTTCTATATTTTGGTATTTGTCTACTAATAAATAATATCTTATTTTGTATTTCGATGTATGGAAATCCGCAAGTTTTGTATCTGAAGCCGCAAAGAAATTTCGCTCTATAGTGAGAAAACTGTTATTATATCTTTTTAGACGTGTAGAATTACAAAATTTCTTATTTCAGATGTTCTAAATGTGAGTGCATGTCAAAAATTTAAATATATACTTGATATATTATTTCAAGTTATATGCTTTGACATTTTTTGAAAGTAAACAAATATTGAAGAAAGTGTTGTGCCTTCACAGAATTTAAATTGGCATTAGGAATAGATTTCCTTGATTTAGTAATGATATTGCTCATAGAAATTGATAATGTGAAGAATAACAATACAGGAACATAGAATAACAAGAAAGAAATTCTAGCAGCAAGTTAGGTTATGAGATAAATTTTATTTATATAGTTTGTTTAAAGAGTTTAGTTTGAAAAAAAGTTAAAACAATTATTATTGTCCAGGTCATATTTGATAACTGTTGTTAATTGATAACATATTACAGGGACACAGTAAAAAGACAAAACATTTAGACCCTTTGAAAGAGAAATGTTTGCAATGGATATTAATAAATTCTAGCCAATTTGTATGATGTACAATGCAGGCAATATTTCTGCCTCCTAACGCAATATTCGCGTAAAAGAAGATGTGGGTATTGTATTTATACCTAGGTAGTTAATGATACATGGAATATATTTCTATATTATTGCAATAACGATGTCTTTATGTTGTATTTTTTTAGAACAGATTTATTATTAGTTGGCTAGTGTGTTAGTAGGATAGCCATTGGTAGTTATAAAGTCGTCAGGTATTAATAATAGGAATTGATCAAAGCTTATACATTTATTGTGAATTTAAGTAGTTAGAGTTTTGGTTGTTTAATAAACGAATTAATGTGCTTATTGTGTATCTAATTAAAAGAACAATGAAAAGTTGAATACCATAGGGGTACGTATGTTATACAAAGAATTTGCATCAACATTTTTTTGGTTATATACTTGTACTGATATTTGTTTCTTGAACTAAAGAATTATACAGTACCTACTACACAATATAATAATCTGCAGCTACATAGGTAGGTAGCTGTTGGTAATTAAATTTTTTATCTAATATAATATCTAACATCAGAAATATTGTTAATTATCAACTATAAACAACTAAGAACTAGAATTATCAACTATAAACACAATATAATATACTGTATCTTAAGCAATATGTAATTATTTAACAATTATTTTTTTTGGGAAATAAAAACTGGTACTAAATTCTTTTTGACTATTTAATTTCTAAGTCACAAATAATGGTGGACAAATAGCAAGAAAATTATACAAGTAAAACATAATTTTAACTTATTTCTCTAATGGAATTTTGGTATTGATCTACTTAGTAGGATATGCAGTTTATCATATTTTTGAATATTTATATTCAATATTGTTCAGGAACAGCCCAATTACTCTGAAAAAAAAATATATGGTCAAATTCTTTGAAAAGAAACTTTTAAAATCAGTAATGATAAAAAAATATATAATTGTTGTATAGCAGAACCAGGGGACACAGAATTAGGGGAATTAACAATAGATTATTAAAAACTGCCTTCTCTTAAAAAAGTAGTATTATATGCACTTAGAAAGACTATAAAGGATATAAGTACGCATAGAAAGAAAGTAAGTATCTATACTACTGATATATATATATATATATAACTATATATGAATACGATACCTACACTATACAATATTACTAGTATAAAAATAACAGCACAGTCGGCACACTTTAAAATAAAAAAGCAGCATAATATTCAGGTATGTATATAAGTAAAATTTTCTCAAAAATATTAGAATATGAAATAAATTGCAACTAAATTTTAATTAATAAACATAAACAAATAAAATTGTCAGTGTTATTAAAACTTTATGCAAATATATGTTACCTTAATACTTTGTCTTTAATCCTACTCTTCTGACATGGCTTTTCAAACTAATATTTATGAACTTTTGTTTCCATATTAATTTCAATATATTTGAATAAAACTGGAAAAATAATCAATATTGGCACTTGAAATTTTAATTTCTTATGTCCTTAAATTATTTATATCGTGTTATACATAATACTTACATAAATATTCAACTTAAAAATAGATCAACACTTGAACGAATGAATATAAAATAGTATATTATCAATTTCTATGAGCAATATCATTACTAAATCAAGGAAATCTATTCCTAATGCCAATTTAAATTCTGTGAAGGCACAACACTTTCTTCAATATTTGTTTACTTCCAAAGGGCAAAGGGTATAACTTGAAATATTTCAAGTATATATTTTAATTTTTGACATTAAGCACTCACATTTAGAACATCTGAAATAAGAAATTTTGTTATTCTACGCGTCTAAAAAAATATAACATTTTTCTCACTATAGAGCGAAATTTCTTTGCGGCTTCAGATACAAAACTTGCGGATTTCCATACATCGAAATACAAAATATGATATTATTTATTAGTAGACAAATACTAGAATATAGAAGGCCAAACCAAACCTCTAGGAAATAACTTTAAAATACATTATTTATTCAAAAAACGTTTGGATTTTGGATCTATAAATTACAATAACAATCTCATCACATTTGTCAGTGAAATGAGTCAAAATACATAGGTTACCGTCAATTTATATGTTTTCAATTTCAAATACTCGACGCCCATTGGTCGTGACGAAATCGTCTTCCTCGACAAAATACGGCACGTTTTTTTTGGACCAGTCGAATATCCTTATTCTATATATCCTTGGGTAGGACTTTAACAATTTTAGGGTTGAAAATTTCCTTTCAGGTGTTGCCGTACAAACGGGTAAAGTGCAATTTTTTTTAATAAAATAAATATGTTAGGAAGTAGTTCTTAGTCAAATATTAACAGGGCATCGAGTGCGGAACTTGGGTAGTCTTCTGGTGTAGCCGAAACTACAGAAAATGAAGAGTTTTCTAAGTCGTTTTTATAAAAACCTATAGCATATATTTTAGATGCGATACTTCATAATCGGATTTTTTATTTAGGGAGGGAATATAAGAGAGCTAAATGACCGTAGTATGTCTTTGTATTTAACAAATCGTTCTTCCAAATGGAATACTACGTAATCTAAAAAAGGAATTTTATAATCTGTAATAATCTTGAGCAGTTTCAGTTTTAAAATTCGGCCTGTTTTTTTGTCTACTAGTTATTCGGTTTTTTTTCTATTTCCTGTCCAAACAATTCGTTCATGTTTCTGTTTGCTTCTGTAAAAATATCTGCGAAGTTGGTATTTAAATTATTGTTTAAAATATAAATAGGACCGGCGCGCGTCGTGTCTGGAGGAGGCAATTGCCCCCTTTGCCCCCCCACTGGATACGCCACTGATAGTTATACAAATTTGCCTAAGAATGAAAAAGATGCTTAACGTTTCGGAAAGTTTATCTCTTTCCCTCGTCGGAAACAAAAAATATACAAAGAATAAAGAAAAAAACCTATTTAAAATATTTAAATTCAACTCGAGAACACTTTACTTTTTTAAAACAGATACGTCTACAAGAAACCGTTGACGTTCTGTTACATTATGACATTAATCAAGTTAACCTTCAAAATTAACTCTTACTACCTGATAACAATTACTTAATAAGGTAAAACCAAAAAGCCCCAAACTTTCTGTATGATTATTTTTAAATTTTACGTATGTTATGTTTATTTATGTTATGTTCTTTAAAATCAAAGAAGCGATTGCCATACATTACTAACATCTACAGATGCAAGAGCAACACATTTATTTTTATTAGATTGAATTAAAAAAGCCTCTTTTATTTTTCTTTTAGAGGCTATCGCTTCTTTCAATATAATTTTGGCGTTATTAAAATTTATTCTGTGCCCTGTGTCCCATGAATGCTGACAAATCTTAGATTTGTGAAAATCTCCCTTTCTTAAATAATCTTTATGTTCTTTAATTCTAACATTTAAGGGTCTAGAAGTTTCACCAATGTAAAATGTATCGCATTCACAGGGTATTTGGTATATTACATTTTTTGTTTGTTGTTCTGTATTCATTGGTTTAGTGTGTGATAAAATGGATCTAAGTTAACCTTTATGTTGAGATTTGTCGATTTAGACAATTTAGAGAATTATGACTGCAGCTACAAAGATGCGGTTTTCTAACAAACAGTTCTAGCTAGTTTATTTTTATTCATTCTGACGATATCAAAACATATTTTTAAAAAAAAAGACCATTTTTAAAGTTACACGTTTACTAATACTTTTAGTTTAAGAAAGGTTTAAACCAATAATAAGATTGAAGTAAAACAAACTTTAAACAATAAAACTAGAAACAAACAAAATTAAATTAAAAAGTTAACTTGCGAATTAACAGGTGCAAAAAGCACCTTTTATTACGTTGGAATAAAAACTTAACTTTGAACAAAGTCGAACATTTATTAAAAGAAAGTTTAAAATTGGAAACAAACCAGTCACGTCAGCTATGGATTAGACGTTAAATATTTATTGCAAAAATTGTCTTTATGCGATGTGTCTTTTTATTCGATGAAATATGAATGAAATTCTGTATTGGTATTATTTGAATTTATTATTTATCAAAAAGGTAATAAAGTCATAACGGAAAATAATATTATTTAATCTACGACAATGTCATAATAACAGATTTAACATTGTCATTTGGATGTCATTATGGCTTTTATAATACCACTAGTGCTATTATGAATTCATAATAACACGCAAATTTTAAAATAAGAAACTAGCAAAAAAAGGTACCTAAATAGGTTTATTTATTGTAAACATTAATTATAATATCAGTACAATGGGTTAAATTAATTCCAGACGATGAGAGGTGAGTTAAATTTTTAGAAAGTAAATTTATTTCCTGAGTGCTTGAACTTGTTGAAGACCCATCATTGCCAGAACTGTTACCCAAAATATTACATGACACTTTTTTCTTATTTTCTTTGGAATTTTCTATATAGCTTTCTGCCACTGTGTTAGAGCGCCAACCACCATGTCCTTTAACAGTTTAACAGTTAATAAATCCACTCCTGAATCTGCAAGCAATGACTCTACGGAAACAATGTCCAGTATATTGTTGTGGATTTGGAAGACTTAGGAACAATGCTATTTTATACGGCATTTTCCCTAAAGTATTAATGCCAACGGGTTGCTTAATACATTTTCCATTTCTGTACCCCACAAAAATTCGAGTATGCTTTGTGTTGCTTGGCCGCATAGCTATATATCTTCGAACCATTTCCACCATATTTATTCCTTCAACATTCCCTTTCGTTATAAAAAAAAATCTCGTGATATCTTTTGTTTTCGTAAATGGAATAATGATATGAATGCATTGTCCTTCATCTTTAACATTTTGCAGCTGCAGATTTGTCAACTCGATACGCCGGCAGGCTCCCGCAAGTCCCACTATCAATGAAACTTTTGTCAGGAAATAAGTTTTATTATCGGCTTCCAACAAAACACGAGTTATGTCTTCTTTTCTTAAAATTCTCGATATTTTTGACCAAAATCCTTCCGATTTTCTTTTTAGAAATGCAATTAAATGGACGTACTTTAATACATATCTGTATTTTTTTTTCACTGTTATAACTGAACGTAGCATGGAATAATATACCCAAAGTGATGAAGCCTTCCTATGTTTTGAAAGATGTTCAAAATATTCCAGGAGAACCTTTTCGTTACTACTATTCTTGATTCTTTTCCCTTTACACCAATCTTCAAGTTTTACATAAGCTTCCTCATACGTTTGTCTTGATTTTTCGGGAAGTAGGGAATCGACAACGTTTTGCGCAATGCCTTCAATATCCGAAGGGACACTTTCAGAATCAGAGTCACCCATATTAATATTATTTTTTGCTTTTTGCTAAAACTGAAACTTTAACACAAAATTGAACATCAATAATTGAGTTGTCAAAGTCAAAATGGAAACAATCAACAAGCACGATTACCACGGCGTCGACTAATATGGGGCACCTGATAATTTTGAATTTTAATTTTTATGAGGATATCTCTGATATTTTAAATTAAATCAAATCTCTTTGGATCGTCTCTCGTGTCGCGTCGTAGTTTAAATTTTGAATGATACACGTTCGATACGAACTTTTTAATGAAACTTGTGTAACTAAACCAAACTTAACGTTACACGCATTTCATTATGATGTTCGTATCGAACTTGTATCATTAATAACTATAATAGACATGCAGGTATAAGTCTTTATCATTATAGTCCGGGAGGCAAGGGCTTTATCTTTGAGGATTTTCATCTCGACTGAGTTTAATACTGTAGGGTATGAAAATGCCACGAACGTAATAGACAAAACGATCACCTTCTCTCTTGATTCTAATCAAGGACGCGCCAGTGCAAGCGAGACAAACGATGCGTGTGACACTTTCTTTGTTATTGATACTAAAAGAATCTCGAGTTTCCATTGTCTTATTTATTTTTAAATTAACACAGCGTTTCGGTCAAAAGAATCATTGACCGTTATCAAGTAACTACAAAACGAATTCCTAAAACTACTGAGCTTTTATACTACAGAAGTTGGGTGTAGTCAAACATAGGGATATTCACTTGAATTCCTACATGGGTGCCTTTTATGGGTTGTGGCCATATCATAAATATTTCCGTACTAGGATTGCTAAAATGTTGTTATTGTTTAGAATAAAAATGGCCATTTTTGATCAAATATGGTCCGCAATACCTGACTTCATTACCCATATGTTCTTACCCTAGTATCCTACAGGCAGAAATCTACGCTATCGAAAGATGCGTACAACTTATCTCAGATAGGAACTATCGGAAACAAGAAATAGCCATCTTGTCTGATAGTCAAGCAGCGTTAAAAGCGATCAACTCAGTATCAATCAATTCGAAATTGGTCAAAGAATGCATAGAGAAGCTGAATAAATTAGGCAAAGAAAACAAAGTCCTCCTACACTGGGTGCCTGCTCACCAAGGGATAGAAGGCAACGAAAAGCAAATAATCTAGCTAGGAAAGGAGCGAACACTCCACTAACTGGACCAGAACCGTTCTGCTTTCCAAGTGGTAACCAACTCAAGGCGGAACTCAAGAAC